TGCACCCCATGGGAGACCAGGAGAAGCACCTGGCTCCTGCCATCGATCAGCGCGGTGCGCCGGCCCGCAGCGCGCTGGCCGCAGCGGCCATTGGAGGTGTGAACCAACCGCAAAGGAAGACCTTTCCTCTGTCTCTCCTCTCACTGTCCACTCTGCCTGTCAAAAAAATAATAAATAAAAATTTTAAAAAAGAAAACTTTTTAAAAGATGAAGAAAACAATTAGCATTGATTTCAAACTTGTCGGTACCAAAAAATTATCTCTTAACTCAATTTTCCATGCACTTTTTGGAGTATTTTGTACAGTGTTCGGAGAGGAAAGAGCCTTGGAATGGAGACGTCTGAGCTCGGTGCAGGTTACCTGAATTCGACCTGCTCGGAGGCACTGGCACACAGTCCAGCGTGAGAGACTGCATTCTCTTCACGACTGCACTCTGCTCCGGATACCGCTTCTGTGAAGAGAAGCACAACACCAGGGAACTGAGCTCCAGAATCACTGCGAAGAATCAGTCTTTTCAGAAGGTGGTGAAATTTCATACAGATCATACAGCAGGATTTTTTTTTTAAATTGGTGCTTCTGCCAAACGCCAAAACAATCCTGAAAAGAGAACAAAGTAGGAGGAAGACTCATACTTCCTGATTTCAAAACTCACTCTAAGCCATGGTAATCAAATATGGTACTGGCATAAAACTGACAGGTAGACCGATGAACAGAAGAGAACCCAGAATCAATCTTCCCATCTATGGTCAACTGACCTTTTTTTTTTTTTTTTTTTTTTGGACAGGCAGAGTAGACAGTGAGAGAGAGAGAGACAGAGAGAAAGGTCTTCCTTGCGTGGTTCACCCCCCAGTGGCCGCTACAGCCGCGCTGCACCAATCTGAAGCCAGAGCCAGGTGCTTCTCCTGGTCTCCCATGGGGCAGGCCCAAGCACCTGGGCCATCCTCCACTGCACTCCCGGGCCACAGCAGAGAGCTGGCCTGGAAGGGGCAACCGGACAGAATCCGGCGCCCCGACCGGGACTAGAACCCAGGGTGCGGCACCACAGGCGGATTAGCCTAGTGAGCCGCGGCGGCCAGCCAACTGACTTTTGACAGTTTTGCCAGGATTACTCAAGGGGAAACCAGATATATACATATCAAGAATGAACTTGAACCCTTAATTATCATATACAAAGTACTCAAAATGGATCAAAAATATAAAAAGTGCTAAAATTATAAAACTCTTGGCAGAAAATAGCAGAAAGCATGGCATGGTCTTGGGGTGATTTCTTGGGAATGACATAAAATCAAGGGCAACAAAAGTAAAAATAAACTGTACCCATCACGGTACCACATCAAAATTCACGCTTCGTGCATCAAAACACTATCGAGAAAGTAAGGAGACGTCCCTCCCCAGAGTCGGAAAGCATTTGTAAATCAAACATAACCAGTAAGGACAGACACCACACGATAAAGAACTGCTGCAATTCAGTAAAAAACCAACCCAAAACACTTGTGCTAAGACCCGCATTCATCCAGATTTTCAAATGTCCGGCCAAGCACAGGAAAGGATAGTCAACATTCGTCAAGTCACTGGGGAAATGCAAATCCAGGCCACACGAGACTGCTCTAATGACAATGGTGGCAGATCAAAGCCACCATCAGAGATGGCTCTGACAAAACAAACAGCAGGCAGTAACAAGTGTTGGCAAGGATGGGAAGAAATGGTGTTCTGGTACCCTGTTGCCGGGGAATGTAGAACAACACAGCTACTGTGGGAAACAGCTCGACGGTTCCTTAACAGGAACACAGAGTATCTTCTTTAGCTAGTAATCCCACTGCTAGGACTGTCCTCAGAGTGCAAAGCAGGGATGTCAACAGCCACATTCGCCACGTGGTTCTTCACAACAGTCAAGCTGAGCACCCATCAGCAGGTAAATGGGTAAACACAGTGAGGTGCAGCACTGCAGGGAATGTCGGTCCACCGTAAAAGGGAAGAAATTCTGATAGTGCTACCAAACGCAAACATCTTGAAAACACTCGGCTAAGTGAAATGCGCCAGGACCAGCGGAAAAATATTCTATCTGATCTCCATGAACTTCCCAGAACAGGCAAATTCAGATGCAGAAACAGAGCCGATTCCATGGGCAGCAGAGCGAGGGATGGTAGTCACTGTGTAATAGAGTTTCTGTTGGAATGATTTTTTTTTTTTTTAATTCTGGAAATGGATAGTGGGGATGGCTGCCACAATCATTTAAATCACTTAATACCACTGCACTGTACACTTGCTAACTACCAACCCAAACGGAGTGCAGGTTTCAGAGAGGTCATCCCGCTTCAGTGGGACTCCCAATCCTCTTCTCTGGGATTTGTAAGATTTCTCTAGATATCACTGGAGTCTTGTCAGTTACACGTGTGCCGCAGCCGTCCCCCCACCCCCACCCCGTGGGCTGGTCATCCCATAACGGGTTCTTATTCAAGGAGTACGGTTCTTTCATCAAATATAATCAGTTTTTGCTCTTACAGTTAATGCTTTTGTATCTTGTTGAAGACTTGCTAGCGTTAGAGCAGGAGGAATTTCCTCCGATGAGATTTTCCAATAGCTGTATTCTTTGTTTTTCCCGTTTATGTAAGTCATCGGCCTGGAGTTTTTTGGTATGGTACAGATAAGAGTGCAATTTCTTTTTCTTTTTTTTCTTTCTAAAAAGTACGTTTGGTAACTATTTGTGGTGGGTAAAACATAAATTAATTTTTTTCCTGTACTGATTTTATAACCAAAAAAATCCTATTATGGATTCAAAAAGATTCTTTTGAATGTTATATGTAGGTATCCCATCATTTACCCATAACGACAATCCTGGTCCCTCCTTTGCAACCCTCTTCTCTCTTGCTCTATGGCAGTAGTTAGGGCCTCCACTACAGCACACTCACTAGAAATGGTGGAGACAGCATTCTAGTCTCACACAGTGCCTCTAACAAAGCTGTTAATATTTATTAGTAAGAACAGTATTTGCTGTGATCATGTCAGAGTACCTATTACCAGGCAAGGAACTTCTCCCTTTCCTGAGTTGCTAATATTTTTAATTATGAATATACGCTGCATTTTAACAACTGATTTTTCTACATCCATTGAAAAGAGGCATTTTTTTTCCTTTTCCTTTTAATAAGATAATTCCTTAGAATGACAGACTTTCCTGAACTAACTTTGGTTTCTTGGAGTAAGTCCAATTGTTTTTCTGTCCACTGATGAACTCAGTCTATTTACATTTTATGTAAGATTTTTATTTCTATTCTATTAAGGGAGATTGGCTGTGATTTTCCTTTCTCGTACTTATGCCTTCTTTTTCAGATTTGGGAATCAAGTTTATGCTGGCATGAGATGAGTCTCAAAGAGTCTCTCGATTTTCTGGAGATGTGTGAAGACTGCGATCATTTCATCTCTGAGTAGTGGTAGAGGTCGCTGATGAAGCTGCGTGGCCGTGGGCTTTCTTTGGTTGTAGGAAGACTTGATCATGATGCAACCTCTTTAAAAGCTGTGGGCTTTTCTGCTTTTTGTTTGTTTGTTTTAGAGGGTGGGTGCACACTCACTCCTGCAGTTTCTGCTGATTCACTCCCCACATGCCCACAACGTCCTGGCTGAGGCCAAAGCCCAGGTCAGGAACTCACTCCAGGTCTCCCACCTGGGTTGCAGGAAGACAGTCACGCGAGCCATCACCACTGCCTACCCAGGTCTGCAGGGGCAGGGACTGAGTCACAAAGCAGAAACTAACATCCCACCCAGGACCCCAAAGCAGGACAAGCTTCCTGCTAGGCCACGCCCACCTCCCATCAACCTTGTTGAATGGTGACATATTCATATTCACCTTTCTCTATTTCAGTCAGTTTGCTATGTTACACTTCTTTCCTAGAAATTTGTACATTTAACTAAATTTTAAAATTAATTATCAAAAGGTTGTTAATAACTGTCTCTCTATAGCATCTGATGTGTGTAGGGTCTACTGTAATATCTCCTTAGTCATCATTTCAATCTTGCCTCTTAAGTTTAGTCATTTTATTAGCCTTTGGTTTTTTTGCCTCATCTTGTTCTTCAAATATTCTACATCTTTCCTGATTTGTCTCTGTTCTATCAATTATAGATGCTAGCATCAAAGCCCGTGGATTTATGCATTTATCCGAGTTCTGTCATTTTTTGCTTTTTTCACGGTAAGGCCATGTGATGACGGGTACATTCATATTTAAAGCTGTTGCATCTTCCGGTCAATCGACCTTTAATCATTCAGAATACTCTTGAGTCTTGCGATAAATGCTTTATGCTGATACCACTTTGGCTGCCCTCTCAGTTTGCACTGGATATGCCTCTTTTATAGTCTGCACATTCTCAAAGCCTGGCAATTCCTGCCTCTCTGTTTGTAGTTTGAAGTCGTTTGCTCGCCCGTTTCATGTACTGTGGCATGTTTCTCATGCTCATGGGGGGATGCAGCGGGAAGTTCGGGCAGTACACTGATTCCTGAGTGTATCCGTGCCTCTCAGTTCCTAACTGGGTTTTGACACAGCTCCCTGACCTCTGACCCCAAACTCACAGCTTCAGCCCGAGGCAGATGGCGCTGCCGCCCACTGCTGCACACAGGGGACAGGGGTCGGCAGCCAACTCCTATAGACGGCACTGTGGGGTTTCCACAGGACGGCCTCTGTCAGCGTCCCAGGCGCCTCTGCGGTCACTCCCACACCTCCTCCAGGACGTCTCCCTCAGCGCTGGGTTTTAGGTTAACATTTCCTAAGACGTCTTGGCAGATACAGCTCTGTTGTCTCTCGCTCTCTCCGGAATTCCTCAGAACTGACCACTCCGCTCCCTGTTACTTTCCACTCTTTCCAAGGGACCACTGCGCTTTTGTTTCACGTCACCACGCACATCGGCTCTGCTGCAGGGACGGGTCTAGTGTGCCGACATGACGATGTCTGCACATGGTGGCTTCATCGCAAAATCTCAGTAGCAAATCACACCACTTCACTTCTCGTGGTTGGTAATGTGGTTCTGATAGAGGCTAACGTGCTGAGCTTCTGCTGTGGTACCTACCTTTAAACTCTTCACATCCTCTTCTACGAATTCCTCGTAATGACTTGAATAAAAAGGTCTAAATCTTTCTTCAATATCTACATGAAAAAAAATAGTACTTTAAATGTCGTAAATATTTCTAAAATAAAATTTAAATATGAGCAGCTACTGTCTTTGAATTACTTACCTTAACCTGTGCGCCAAGGGTAAAATAAATGATTAACCCCACATCACTGACTCCGACGAAGAAACTAAACCAAGCACCACGCAGACAGAATAAGGGATAGGGACCCCACTGGGACCACGGGCTCTGCCCTCCAGTGTGCAGTCCCGCTGGCCAAGCACTAAGTCCTAGCTGATGCGGGTTCCTCCCCAGTGAACAAGGATGGGGGAACTCCATGTGTCTGTGCCTCTGGCATCAAAGATTCGTAACAGGGTAGGATATGCAAAAGAAAGATGTTGTGCAAAGGGTTAGAGCTATTAGCTTGAAAGGGAAAAGCCAGCTTCCAGGCCCAGGAGTCAAAGAGGCACTCTGACATGGGATGCAGGCAGCCCAAGGGCAGCGTCACAGGCCGTGCCTCAGTGCCTGCCCGCAGAATAACCCTTCTCTGAGAAACCCTCGAGAGTGGTTTGAGGCACTTCCGGGTGAGGGGCGCTGGCGTGGCCCACCTGCCAAGCTTCCCTCCCCACCTGCTGCTTTATGAGTGTCTTCTACTTGGCTGTTTTGAGTTGTATCCATTATGAAATGAGGATATACTTCAAAAAGTTCGTGGAAAAATGGAATTAAAAGAAACGTTTATTTTGCTGCAAACATTTTTAAACCCATACAGCTTTTGTCATATAATTTTTCATCAATTTTTGAAGACCCCTAGTAAACAGGTAAACACAGGGAAAATGTTTTCCTCAGTCCTCTGAGCCTTGCTAAGGAACCGCATGAGAACACCTGACTCGGGGAGCTGGGCACACTGCAAGCAGCCTCACTACCCAGTTTGCAGCTGGCATCAAAGCAGGGGCAGTCCTGGGGACTGAGCCCGTAAACCCGCGAAATCTGATGATGACCTGGGTACTCAGTGCAGAACTGAACTACACGTCAAGACACCCAGCTGGTGACACATTTGGCATCAGAAATGGAATCATGAACAAGACACAAAAGGTAAATATAACAAACTTTCATCCTCCTCTTGAGTGTCCCAAACCATGGCAGCTGACGCCAGGTTGAACAGTTCTAAATGTACAAGCAAATGTTTCCTCTTAGGCAGGAGGACTATCTGGGGCCACAGCACCAAGAGGTAAAGGAGGTGGGCGTCTACACTTCACTCAAACTAGTAATGTGCCAACATCAGTAGACTGTGATAAACCATGCACACAAAGTGGGATACTCAGAATGTCAGTTTGAAAAAATTATACAGGATGGGCACTTGGCACACCCATAAACCATGCTGGAGTGTCTGAGTTCAGTTCTAAGCTACGCTTTCCATTCCAGCTTCATGGAAAATGTGCACCCTGGGAGGCGGCAGATGATGGCTCATGTAATTGGGTTCCTGCAGCCCACATGGGAGACCTGTCTTCAGATGTGCACAAAAAAGAACTACAGAAATGTTCATGAACTCATAGGGATGCGGGGAAAAGAAAACAGAAAAGAAAATCAAAAGAGAAGAAACAGAAAACAATAAAATGAGACTTGGGTCCCAATAGCCCAATAATTACATTAACTGTACATTGTCTAAATGCATCAATTAAAAGAAAGGAACTGGTGGAGAGATTTTAAAAAGATGATCTGGGGCCCAGCGCTGTGGCACAGCAGGTAAAGCTGCTGCCTGTGACACTGGCATCCAAATGGGTGCTGGTTCACGTCGCAACTGCTCCACTTCTGATTCAGCTCCCTCTAATGACCTGGGAAAAGCAGTAGAGGATGGCCTAGTGCTTGGACCCCTGGACTCACATGGGAGACCGGGACAAAGCTCCAGGCTCCTGGCACAGCCCTGTCTGTCTTGGCCATCTGGGCAGTGAACCAGCAGATGGAAGATTCTCTCTTCTCTTTTCTCTCTCTCTCTCTCTAACTCTTTCAAATACATAAATAAATCTTAAAAAAAAAAAAAAACATGATCCAACTGCATGTTGTTACAACAAACTCACCGCACTTGTGGTAATACAGGCATCTTACAGCAAATGGATGGGAAGAGATGAACTATGTAATCATTAATCAAAGGAAGGCAGAGTGACTGTATTCAATAACATAGACTAAGAGCAAAGAAAATTCCTAGAGACAGAACGGGATATCTATACGCTGAAGGATCAATCCATCAAGAAGATATGGCAATCCTAAATGTGTAGGCACCAAACAACAGGATTGCAAAATATGAAAGCAAGAGATGATAGAACCAAATGCAGAAACAGACAAATTCACAGTTAAAGTTGGAGACTTGGGTACCCCTCTCTCAACAATCAAAAGAGCTAGACAGTTAAGAGAATTTCTAGATACAGAAGAACTCAACAATACCATCAACCAACAACAGGATGCAACCAAGAGTTAGCGAACAGTCCAAGTGACCTGGGCAGCATAACCAGATATTCTCCCCAAGTGCCAGTGTAACATGTAACATGACATAACATGTGTAACATAACATGTCATAACATGTAACATGACATAACACGTGTAACATGACAGACCATATCCTGAGCCTTAAAACAAATCCCAACACATTTCAAAGACTTGAAACATACAAAACATGTTTTCTGATCACAGTAGAATCAAGATAACAGGAAAATTTCCAAACTTTTGAAAATGAAACAACATGCTTGTAAACAATACAAGGATCAAAGAGAAAAATCTCAAGGGAAATGAAAAAAACACGTATTGAGATAGGTACGGCTGTTGGCCTAGCCGTCAAGGTGCCGCTTGGAGCAGCCACATTTCATACTGGAGTTCCTGGGTTTCAGTACTGGCCCCACTCCGGATTCCAGCTTCCTACAGATAATGTGCAACCTGCCAAGCAGCTGGGTCCCTACCACCCATGTGGGAGGCCTGGACTGGGTTCCCAGCTCTTGGCTTTGGTCTGTTTCAGCCCCCTCTCCTCTATCCTTCTAAAATAAATAAAATTAAATTTAAAAAAAATCCATCAATGGAAATGAAAATCAAAATATAACAGATCTAAAACTGTGAGACACAACTAAAGCAGTGCTGAGAAAGAAATTCACGGCAATAAATGCACACATCAGAAAACAGAAGAGGTGGGAGGTACTTAGCCTTAAGATGCCCACATCCATATTGCAGTACCTGGACTTGATACCGACTCCAGTGTCCGACTCCAGTTTCCTGCTAATGCAGACCCTAGGAGGACTGATGATGGCTCAAGCAGCTGGTTCCTGCTACCCACATAGGAGACCTGGACAGAGTTCCTGCTCGGAGTCCCGGCCATGTGGGCATCTGGGGAGTGACCAGAAGGGAGCTCTCTCTGTGCTTCTATCTGTCTCTGTTTCTGTCTCCGTCTCTGTCTCTCTCTCTTTGCCTCTCAAATAAATTAAAATTTAAGAAAACAAAACAACAAAAAAAGACAGCAAGAGAGAGAAAAGTTCTCCAACAATAATGTAAGTTCCCTCCTGAAGAACCCAGAAAATGAACAGCCAAACGAACACAAAGCAAGCGGAAGGAAGGCAATGGTGCTAAGAGCAGAAATCAAAGATCAGAAGACAGAAAAAGTAGAGAAAATCAATGGAAAACACTAGCTGTTTGAAAGATCAGTAAAACTGACAAACCTGTTCACAAGGACTGATACAGAAAAAAAAAGACACAAATTGCTAATACCAAGAATGAAAGAGGCTATCAGTATGCAAACAAAGGATACTAAGGAATACCAAAAACTGCTTCACATGCATACATTTAACAACTTACAAGAAATGCATCACTTACTCAAAATACAAACTACTGCAACAAATCATGTGAATATAACTGCTAACGAAATCGACTCCAAACTTTAAGACTACCCAATCAGAAACCTCTCCAGGCACAGATGGTTACGTGGGAGAATTCTACCAAACTTTTCAAGAATTAGTATCAGCTCTACACACTCTCTACCAGAAAACAGAAAAGCAGGGAGTGCTTCCAGTTCACCGTATGAAGTCATTTTATAAAGTCAGCATTGGGCTCTGCTCCTCCCTGGCTGCCTGAGGGCAGAGGGTCACCGTGACCAGCACTTGTCTGGACCTGGAAGTTCACGACCACTATCACTATCACTTCAGCAAACGATCACGGCCCCTCGCCCGAGGAAGCCAACAGCGCCTGAGACAGAAGCTCGGGGAACGCTAGTGAAGAGGGAGAAGACTCCACTGGATGCCATCTTTGTATTTGGATTCAGAACCCATTTTGGTGGCGGCACTGATTTACAGTTTGCAGAGAAAAAAATGAGCCCAAACATAGACCTGCAAGACATGGCCTGTGTGAGAAGGAAGACCTAGACAACAGTGAAAGGAACGTAATTCAGAACAGAGCCCGGGGACCGCCACGGCCAGTGTCACCGCCGGCAGTGACCTGGAGATCGGATGACAGCAGAAGAGTGGAGGCTGTAATGACTTTATCTGTGGTGACTGTGTGAATCGTTAACATCACAACCGGACAGGTAATACAAAAAGAAAACTAGAGACCAAAACCCTCAGGAATGGGCACACAGCAGTTCTTCACAGGGCACTGCAAATGGATCAGCAGTGTGTAAGAAGGACTACACACCAGGACCAGTAGGTCTCATTTCCGAGATGCAAGATTTCTTCAGTAAAAAAAATCAATCAGTGGGCCAGTGCTGTGGCGCCCTGGCCTGAAGCGCCGGTGCCAGGTTGAGTCCCAGCTGCTCCACTTCCGATCCAGCTCTCTGCTGTGGCCTGGGAAAGCTGTAGAAGATGGCCCAAGTCCTTGAGCCCCTGCATCTGCATGGGAGACCCAGAAGAAGCTCCTGGCTTCGGATCGGTACAGCTCCGGCAGTAGCGGCCAATTGGAGTGAACCATTGGATGGAAGACCTCTCTCTCTCTCTCTCTGCACAACTCTTTCAAATAAATCAATCTTTAAAAATCAATGAGTGCAGTCCACTGCATTAACAGGGTACAGAA